AGGTACAGATGCCATATGGACTCACAGGCACCTGTCAATTGAAGGTAGAAAATAACGGCAATGGCATCTGATGAATAATTCAACTTTAACAGCAAGTCCTGCTGAACCTTCACACTCAGACGACTGCATCTTACATCTCCTGTCACTGACTCCATTCTTGGACACAACTTTCCTGCAGATCAGTTGTCAATGCTGTTTTCCCTTCTGACAGACGTCACCTTTTTTTTTCGCATACATGAAATTCACTTACTTTTTTAAAAACGGAAATACAAAAAAGTACAAATAATTATCTCTGTAAACTAACATGTTTCTTAAAGCACATTTTGCCTTCACAAACAAAAACTGATGCAGTGGAGGAGTGATTGTTCTCTTAGTATCACACGGTACAGCAGATAAAGTGTTGGGCCACAGTCAATATATTCAGCTTTGCAACAATTTTAGCTTCAGTCTTTTGATCACATTTCATATGTTATTAAAATGAGCTGCACACTTTAGATGGTACTTTTGGTGGGTTTATGGTGGTACTGATATAACGGAGTAAAAAAATTCAACACACACACACACACACACACACACACACACACACACACACACACACACACACAGTCAGGTAACAACAACAAAAAATACATTTGTTTTTGTTTCCAACATTTTCTTAGTTTCTGATATGGACTTTAACTTGGTCAACCAGGTCTCTACTTTAAAATTAAGTCACTTTTTTACATTGAATATCTGACTCATTTTTAATGGGAAAGAGTGTACAGGCCTTAAACCTGCTTATGATTCAGTCCTGACTTTTGAAAAGCATCAGTCTCATATGGCAATTAAACAAACAGTAAACTAACAAGGGCAAGGCTGTGCACTGTATAGTTCTGTGCACAAACAGCTACAACAAACTCAGATTATGAGCAAATGAAAATGAAATAAAACAGAAGGCCTGTGCATTGAATCCATATTCAGTCTTTGCCAACAATCCAAGGCCGTACAATACATGCTAATGAGCTGTCATTGTTTGAAGCGTGAGCCATGGAAATGAGCACACACTGAGCTGCAATGTGTGAGATGAGTGTGAAATCTGATAGAGGAAACAGACAGACAGTAGGAGACTGAGCCCCAGGGCCCCGAGATCTCACTGCAGAAAATATGTAGAACAGGGAGGAAAAGGTGTTGCTACAAACTACCGTGTGTTATTCTGTGTGTGTGTGTGTGTGTGTGTGTGAGGGGTTAGCCGTGGATGGCAGATGTCAGACCTCTCAGCCCCACCCCCACTATGGGACCACCTGTTGGACCAAGGCCATCTGGAGGGTGGGCTATCTCTGCGGACTGATAGCGCGAGGGTCCAACCCAGCATGCTGACCAATGATACATGATCACACCACATGACAGGAAACGTCCCGTGTGTCTGGTGCTTGTCTGTACTCTCTGTCTGTCCGTCTTTTCTCTCTGTCTGTCCATTTCCACTCACATCTTTAGTTTTGAAAGAAATGCATTTTAAATCAAGATGTGCATCATCTAACTCTTAGTAGGTCCTTTACCATAGTGTGGTGCACAGTATACCTTCAATCGCACATTCCAGTCAGCTGGAAGTATTGTGCGGCTGCAGACAGAGTATACCCAGTTGTCTCATGGTGCTAATGTTTCTTAACACCTCCTGAAAATCTTACTGACAAAATAATTTGTCAAACACATGTTGTGTGTAAACTGTTTTTTCTGCTCAAAACTAGCTTTTATGTGTCTGCCTGGATTTAAGAGCGGGGTTCAGCCAAAAAAAAACTGATGAAATACTCAAAACTACTAGGTCTATTTGTTTTGGATCCCATCTGGCAATAAACACAATTAATACATTAGCCTGTGTTTCAGTGTCACACATAACTAAATATCTACACAGCTTAACAATTTATTTAGGGCTGACAGACAGTAGCTTTAACATGCTCATGTGCCGCTAGTTGATTTAATTTGTGTAGTGACTCTGTCAAAGGGCCACAATGAGACGGTCAAACCTCCACCAGCCTTTACAGTGGACAGTAGCTTCTCATGGCAGCTTAGCTCAGCTCTATGGCTCTACATCACTGTCCATGCTACATTGTTTTCTTCAGTTTTGAAAACGTTCCTGTCACCTTTACATCGATAGGATGGAAGGCGGCTGTTGAACTGAAAAGCATTATTTTCCTTTTAGAATGTTCTCATCTGATTTTGTGGGATGCTTTCCTGGCAACTAAACCTTCACACTCCAGATTGGAGAGAGGAAATATTAACAGGTTGTGGAGATTATGGAGACATCTCACAGACAGAGGGAGCTGAATCTGCCTTGATGGTTGACAGAATTGTTAAAAAAAAGTAGGTGGGTATATTCTTAACAATTTTGTTTGCAGTCTGTATGTTTGCATCAAGTTAGAGAACTCCATCTGTGAACATCGGTGGTCGCCCGCTGGGGCTGTAACTTTAACTGAGAAAATAACTGGAGAATATATTGGATGCAATGGTTGTTGTTCTGGTTTTTTTTACCTGATGGTTGTTTCTTTTGCTGAGAGCTTGGGTTGTGGAGTTGATTAGTTTTTTTTATAATTGAAAAGTTGATGTTTCCCCTGAGCTATTTTTGGCTTCATAGCATAATTGAAATTAGATCCCTTCAATTCTCCAAGTATTTGGTGTTTTTACTCCACATTTACAGACATTTTGTGCAAAATAATTAACATGTAAATATACTTGTAAAATCCATTGCACACAATCCTATGCAACTGCAGAAAGAACATTTGTAATTAATGTAATTTAGCGTTACGTAATTAAATATATTGAGCATCTGTTTCTCATCTTTGTATTTTTTTTTTATTAATTAACCTTTTTTATGTGGATGCTATTAAATAAATAAATAAAAATAAATTTACAAGTCACTGATTGAAATGTTTTTGTGAGTTATATGTAGAACCTTAAAGGAATAGTACAACATTTTGAAAAATAAACTTTCTCTTCTTGAATTATAGAGAAGATACCACTCCCATATATATGAGCAAGGAGACAGTTAGCTTAGCTTAGCCTAGCATTGTGACTAAACACAACAGCAAGCCTGTGGGTAGGTTTCAAAACCTGCCTACCAACTCCTCTATGCTCAAAATGAATATATGATCTATGAAATCTATGTTTTAACTTAAGTCAGCGACCGTGATGTTGACAGACTGTTGGAAAGTCGGTTGAGTTAAAACTTCCTCGATCAACTGGGTTTTTAATTGGGCATCCCCACCGGGTTAGTTTGAATACCACTCAGACTGCTGTCAAAAATAAAACCAAATGTTAGGCTTTGTGATTAACTGGAGAACAATGGCAAAGCGATTTGAAGGAAAGTGCCAGAAAATGGTTGTGACTGGAGTTTCTTTTTTGAAGTGGTGGTAATGACTTGGCTGTTAGGCAGAAGAGCACAATGTTATGACTTTAACTGTAGTGTAGGACTGTAATGTCTCAAAGCTATAACAAAATAAAAAATTAAAAAATTAAAAATAATAATAATAATACAAATTGAACATCCTGATCAGGGGACAAAAGATATATAAATACTGTTTTGTACATTTTGTGTTACACAGTAATCTCCCACTAAATTTAAGCAGGAACAATATTAAGTATTTCCACAACAGCATTTCTGCATTTTGTCTTGACTCAGAAGTTTATTGCTGCACCCGCTGGCGTCTTATGAAGCTTTCTGTGTGTCACGATATTCGCACACACATACTCTTAAGTGTTTCTGTGTGCAAGCATATGTCTGTATGTTTACCGGGCCTGCAAATGCACTGTACATATTTGTGTGTGTGTGTGTGTGTGTGTGTGTGTGTGTGTGCCCATGTCCAATTTTGTGTGTGTATATCATCACTTGTCTATTTTGGGGTCATATTTGATAAGCCCTTGAGTGAAGTTGCGAGGTGAAGTGACAGTTTGTCAGAAAGCGGGTCATGGGGCAGTCACTGTGTAGGCGGCCCTCTGCGCCCGTGTACCGGGTATAATTAGGCACTCATTACCATATCAGTCAATTACCAACAACCATTCTGGCGCCTTTCTCTCAGGAATCTGCCCTTCTGGACACCAGCTCTGAAGAAGGACAGATTTTTTTCCTGGCTACAGAAGTAATTATTTTTCCCTGTCTTCCTCCCTCCTTCCCCTTATTATGATTGCTACTGGTAAAACAATGGCTTAGGTTTTGTTGTGTTGTGTTGCTGCGGGCACCATCTGTGGTGGTGAGGGGGAGGCACAACAATACCATATGGTCAGGGCATCAGCAGCGGGCTATATCTGCTCATCAAGTCCTGTCATTGTCATCAGCCACTCTGCTATACACTAGTCCATGTTCATCTGTCACACACGCACAGACACACACACACACACACACACACATGCACACACACATACACACACTGACACAGCAAGATATGGTCATATACTTATTTATGAGGGAGAGATGAGGTTGGATGAGCAGATGTCTTGTTGAAATGTTGCACAGAATTTCTCACCCGATTCCAAGTTTTTGCACAATCATGAGCCATCTTGCTTTTAAAGGGACTCTGTAATTCCTCAGAAATGTTTTTACTTGTTTGAAACATACATCGTGGCATGGATTTGATATCTTGTAATCAGTTTTCATCTGCACTAATGAAATAATTTGGCACCTCAACATCAATCCCAACCCGCAATCGTTGATTGGTGTTGGGAGCTTGGGGCTTTTTTAGACATACCCATCTGCTGTCTCGCACCTCCTAATCTGTAACACAGTGTGCGCGTGCGTGCACACACACACACACACACACACACACACACACACAGCCATTACTGGTGCCACCATACTGTCTATTACGCTGTTTTTCCTTAACTTTCATTGGGATTGTAGACAGTAAAGATCTATATAAATTGCATCTATCTTCATTTTTCTCAATTTACATGAAATACTTGCCTCAGTGTAATAGTTTACTTGTTATTCTTCTGCGTTAAAGGGAGGCAGGGCAGTGGCTGTGTGAACGACGATGAAGAAGGTAAAGAGGAAGACAAGAGGACAGAAAGAAAAGAAAGGAGGAGTGAGAAGATGGTGAGATATTGGATATAACATACCAAAATAAGCATGTTATATTGAAAGAGGCCATGAGGACATGGGCTTGAGGAGAAACAGATTACTTGTAAGAGATCTCAAAGTGATATAAAAAGAGATAGAGAGAGAGTGCACAGGAAGGAGGGTAAGGGAAGGACAAAGCTGAAGGCATGTGAAGGCTGAGATAACTGGTTTATCCTCGCATCATCTCGGTCTGCGTTTATCTTTGTCTGCCTCTTACCATATCTTTCCCCATCTCAGTCTCACCGAATAATAGAAACCGTAAAAAAACAAAGCCCAGTGTGACTGTGGATTTTAATTGGTCTTCAGAATCCGTAATTAACAGAGCGCCTCACCGTGCACACTCTTCTGACGTTGCTCGCAGATTGTTGTTGCAGTTTTTGCACACACTTTGCTCTGAAGAAAATTTGAGATGTTGCATTAACTTTGCTCCCCATTCGATTTACGCACGGTTCATTTGGTGCCTTGTCTAATTAGATGAGTAGATTTGAAACAATTTTCCACAAAAAAAAAAAAAAATCATAGTAAAAGAAGTGTAAAAGTGAATGCAGGCGGCGTCAGGAATATGATGATGGGAAAAAAAAGGTTATAAGCTTGATATCAATGATGACCCATGCAGAAATGGGGGGGTTGATTTGTCTGGTTTGTCTGGTGAGGCCTGTAGAGACAGACTAATACTCAGCAGATCACAGGGATTGGGATATTGTTTATAGGATCAGCTGGACAATAGGCAGGGGAGCGCTCCTCTCCTCTACCCCTGTTTTGCCCCGGGCATAATAGAAGACTGCACTACCCTTTTCTCTCCACCTCCTTCAATCCAGTACTTCTCCTCATCTTGACCTCTCCCTTCCAGCCTCACACCCTCTGTTCCTGTCCTCTTTTGCTCTCCCTACAACGTCCCCCACTTCTCCTTTGCAACCAGGGACATTTTCTGGGGGCCACTCGTCCTCAGTGTTGTTGCAGACCAATCATCCTCCAGTGCTGTTAGCCCTCTGGTAGCCCGGCCCCACACCACGGCAGAGGGGATTTTGGGGCCGACAGTTGCCCCTGGCGAGGCGAAAAACACAGACCGAGGGACAAAGTGGGTGCTGGGATATAGGAGGGAGGCACTGGGGGTGGGGGATGAGGAGTTACACGGCCGCCTTGGTTGGTTCCAGCCCTGGGAGACAGCTGGAGTCCCTCTCACCTCCCGGCTTGTGGAGGTCAACCCTGTTACCACAGCCATAAGGTCCAAATCCTTGGCCTGGAACATCACCAACGTCTGTGAGGTTTGGCCAAAAGAGAGGCTTACTACCACAGCCCAGTTAATACAGATCAGAAAAACTGAGACTATAGCTCTAGAGGTCACTGTTTTATCTACTAATATTAGCAGATTGTTGTTACAATGGGAGTTTACAATGGTTATAATTGGTTTGCAAATGCTCAATGAGTAGGTAAACTATATATATATATATATATAATGAAAAATTTAAAGCATGTTTGATTTCTATGCCATCGACAAAATGATAAATGTCCAGAGATATCTTTGAAGAGAAGACAAAAGACTTTGATGGAGAAGGGAGGAAAGAAAAAAATACAATACACACAAAGCAGAATCAATACACAATCAAACTTCTCTTTGTGATAGTATCTAACTTTCACAGAGTGTGGCACCAGCAGCTGTGTTTTGGCATCTCTGATTGTCTTACACATATTTCCTTTTTATCAAATTTCCTGAAAGGTGTAATTATGTCGGCCCCCTTGAAATATCCCCGGCGTGTTCGCCCGTGTTCGTGTGGTGCTCGGCACATATAATTTAATTTGAATTCATTACTCCCCCTCCTGTCAGTTAATATATTCATGACTTCCAATTCCCTCAGAGCTGTCCCACCACCTGGAATGTCCTCCCTCATCTGTGTCACTCCTCCCCCCTCCTCCTCCCCGTGCTTCCTCCGCCTCACCCCTCCTGGTCCTGTGGGATCCCTGGGGGCCCATGAAGGGGTGTTAGGGCCAGGGTCACAGAGGCTGGGGGGCCCGCTGTCATTAGGGTGCAGTGGAATGTGTTAGCAGGGACCAGCTGGGACCAGCCAGCTCTGTCCCGGCCCTTTTCTGCTGGTGCTGCTGGTGTTGGCGTGTGTGTGTGTGGTGTGTGTGTGTGTGTGTGTGTGAGTCTGCTGTATATGTGTCAATGATGGTGGCAGCACTGGGGAGATGGTGACACCTGCAAACGACAGTGATAAAATGGCAGAGATGGGTTTTCACACTGCTGAACTTCTGTGACATTGTGTGTTTTTCAAAAGGTTAAAGTGAGAATAGCAGATTTGTTTGCTGTGTTCATGTTTCTATTTTTGAGTCAAAGCTTTGACAGACGCAGGGCTGAAGATTCATTTTCAAGATTTATATCCATATTTAATGCTTGAATTTACCAACTAAAGAAGCTCATGGCATCAAAACCTATTAGTATTAGTGGACTCAGCTTTGCAAGGTAGCAAAGTGAAAGACTATTGTTGAGTCTCAAATCAAATATTTGAGGGCAGGAGTCTGACATCTTAGCTACGTACAGGAAGGGGAGGGACAACCAAAGTAATTTCGGCTGAGGAAGGCGGACACTTCCTTATTGCTGGTGGCAGCATCAATTCCATGTAATATGAAACAGGAGGCACACATAAGGAATTGAAATGTCTCATGTTAGCAAGTCAGTCAGAAAAAATTGTGGGGTGACAATTAGGGTCACTTTTAAGCAATCTCGGAACCCAATGGCTATTATCTGATGATAAATTAGCCTCTGGAGGCAATGGGCAATATTTTGGGGGTACCGGTGTAGACAGTCGATATCCAGGCCAAGAGTCCATCACTCACATAAAATCAAATCAACAGAAAACATTTTGGCTCTATTAACTATCTTCATAGGAGAGCCCTGACTGGATTCGAACACTGCACAAGTGAGAATTCTGAACATGTGCGTGGACAGTATGAAGAATCTGACTTTGAGACAGTGAGAATGCTTTTCATATTTCATCCACATAACTTCTTCCTCCACTTCTTACAGATGCATTATTTATCTTCTGCCAAAATATTACATCACTCAATAAAATGCTAACTGAGTCGTCATGTTTCTCTGCAGTTCTGTGGCAGAAATGACCGAGCTTCAGCTTCAAAATGCTTCTCTCCCTCCTTTCATACTCTCTCCATCTTTCATGTTGCACCTTTGTACCAGCCTCTCGACCGACACTGACTGAATATGTCCCTTCTGTGTGGTAAATATTTCATGACGGGGAGCAGCTCGAAGTTTGATCATCGCAGGGTGCCGGTGTAGGAGTTCAAAGGAGACTGTGGGCCCCTCTGACAGCCAGCCAGAAGAAAGTGGAGGGGGAGGAGGAGGAGGAGACACTGGGGTAAGACAGGAGGTGAGGAAGAGAGGAGAAGGTGAGTGTGAAGGGGGAGTATAAGGGAGGGAGGCAGTGCTGCGTGCTCAGTTTAAATTCAGCACCACCAATTTCCTGGACAGCTCCCTCAGTCTTCACCAAAGTGGAAAACAAAAAGTTCTGCTACTTTTTTTGCCGGAATATTTTAAACCAACATCTCATGTATTTTTCTGAATAATTACCTAATTGATGGAGTGAGAGGAACAGACATATTCTTCACGCCAGTCATTAGAATTAGACAAGCATGTGTACGTGCATGTGTGTGTTACCCCTCATCCTGCAGTGTTTGTCTGTGCGCGTGTGTTAGTATATCTGTGTGCATGTGTATTAGAGGGAGGAGAGGGGGGCTTCATTATTAATCAGGACCCTTCCCTTAGTGTCAGAGCTGCTCACATTCCATGGCTTAATGACTGAAAATGAGCCATAATTATGGGCTGTCAGTCCAGCCCCTGGCACCCCCTCTGCTCCTCCATCTCATGGGTGCATGTCCTCCGCTCTGCTGCACCACACCCAGACTGCCATCACTTACCATCATTACTTATCACATGTATCTGAGTTACCCACTGCACCCACACAAGAGCCCTCTCCCATTATTAGACCATTATAAAATCTTGAAACTAATGCTAGGGCGAGATAAAGGAATGAATATAGATATCAGATGAAATGAAGCTCCCTGACTAACCTCCATCACCCCTTACACATCTTACATTATAATACAGATTTAATGCTAAATACCTGATTTGAAAAGCACTTTATCTGGACATAGAGGTTTTGTTTGACAATGTACTTGAACTGTTTGCATTTGGATTGCATTTATAAAAAATACATACAGTACATCCACACCACCATCTTTTCATCCATGTTTCCATCCACATAAGCATCATGGCACCGTATCAGTTTTAATCCGATACTAACATGCCTGAAAATGCCTATCACATGACTGAGGTATACTCTAGACATTCCTGTGGCTGTGTTAACACAAATCACTCTAATAATAACTTGTCTCCAACATGTAAACAGTCGTATCATTGTAAGATACAGAATTTAACTGTGCATCAGCTGGTAGCAAGGACAACAGGGTCAGCAACGCTTGCAATTGATTATCCACGTTGCGTTCTGCAGTGGTAGCCGAGGCTAATGGCGGTTTCTTCCGAAGGGCAGCGTCCTGTGATAGACGAATGAAAGACGGTTTTCAAACTAAAACCGGACCAGCAGCATTTCAAAACTTCTCCGTTTTAGTGGCTGTAAAACTGGAGCAGAGTTGATTTTCCAACGTTACCGATGATCCTTATATTTAACAGTATATGCAGATATGTTTACTGTACATATTTCCCTGCCATCCATCTCTAGTCTCTTTCTCCCTTTCCCCCACCCTTCTACTTGCTCTGTGCACTTAAGCTCATCGTTATGCAGCATGTGGTTTATCAGAGCTGATGATGAATTTGTTTATGAGTGGAGCAAACTGATTTCCCCTGAGTGGTCTTTCTGTCTCTCTCTTGCTCTTACCCCTTTTTCTTCGTTCCTTTTCTTCGCATGAGTCCATCCAAACAAAGAGAACCTCTTCCCCCTCCAGCCTTTACCAGGCCTGCAGGGGGGCTTCACCCGTCATAACATCACAGCTGATTTCAGGCATGACCTCCGGGTACAATCCGTTGAATTGAATATGGAGTTTATCTGTACTCTGCCTTTCACACATGCACAACAAAGCAGGATGTCTTCTGCACTGATGGGTTCACAACAGCATCAAATCCTCTGCGTTATTCAGGCAAGAGGTGGAGCAGCCGGGTGCAGCAGGCAGAGGCAGGAACGTATTAACTCCACTACAGAAATCACGTGATGTTTAAACCTCCCTGAAACCGGATTTCTACAGACCTTAAACTGGGAGAGTGTAGAAACGGATCGTCTCAATTTGCGTTCACACATGCACCTCCTCCAGATAAAATACAGAGGGTCTGCGGAGTCCATGTCTGAGAGCATTTTAGGATTTAATTCCCATCAATTCCGAGCTGGTAGGGTCACTAATCACAGGACTGTACAAAGGGAGGTGCAGAAATGATTGAGAGCCTGATTTACACATAGCAATATTTGCAGTGTGGCAAATTGTTTGCACAAGCCTGCCAGCTGAATCCCTTTAATCATGCTCTGTAGTTAAATTAATGTCATCTTTTCCCTCCGGCAGCCGCAACTGTGAGAGAAAACCCCAGGTTGTACAATGAATGGATCGCAGGCTTCACACAAACGTGGACAGACATATTAAGAGAAACCCACTTAAACAACAGAATCCAACTGTGCCCTGAAAGCCCTCATACATGAGAAATGTGTTGCTTGTTTAAATCTTCAGCATCTCTTACAAGATGGCAAGTCTAAAAATGTGGGCATGTTGGACAATACAAAGCATCTTGTCTGACAGGTTCCCCTCCTGGGCCTTTCAATATAAGCATGCTGTTTGAAATCTGCCTGCATACACACATGTACTGCATGCATTTACACAGGCGCCTTCAGACACACGGATACACACGTTAATATCCCTGTTGGAGGTGGTGGAAATGCCAGCTATTATCAATTAATCTTTGCTGTGTTTTTTCTCTTGCAGAGAGCGGTACCATATGGTTCTCTGTCAGCCACTGCTTTTAATTTACTCCTTGCGTCTGCTGTGAAAACATCCTATCTAAATTGTGGATTTGATAGAGGGAGTATAGAGAGACACAGGCTAAAGTTTACAGAACCTCTCATACATTGCAAATCGTGTAAAAACTCACCTTTTTGCAGTATCATTTTAAAGTTGTAGTTTTATCAAGTGATTATGCATGCATAGGTCTTTCACCCCTGCTTATTTCATCATCATGAAAATGTCCCCATGAATC